ACAATGTGGACAAGTACGCAAATGGCAGAGATCCCTTCCTTCCAATCTTCGTTTGGCCAAACTCTCGCTGCTTGAGAGTTACCGAATGAAGCCGTGTAAGCAGTGCAAGCCCTATCCGCTGGATCAGTGATGCCAGGGATCCTCTTCGTGGTCTTCGGTTACCAGTGTGGTGGCTCCTTGGATGATCTCGTGAGTTTGTGCATCGAGCTCATTTGATCGATGAGGTGTGATTTCTCCAGAGAGGAAAGACGCTTTTGGGATGCAAAGCATTCGCGCATTTATATCCTCTTCTACAGTAGAGTTTCTCCTTAGACATAAGCCTGTAAATCTTCAAACAGCTGTCCCTTGTGCAAAGAGCCTGTAGGTGTGTAGTGTTCAACAGGTGAACTTCAGTTCTCAGTTTGGAGAGGTGGATGAAACATCCACGGAAGCACTTGTTTTGTGTGGAAAGCACATGAGAGGATCCTGTGCATTCCAAGGGGGGTGACAAAACTTTAACTCACCCTAAACCACGTTTTCCTTAGCAGTGCAGAAGTTGCAGTACGACTGTGGACACAAGGCTCAAAGTGTGTGTGAAAAGTTGCGTTGCTCTGTTGACTGGGGTGCACTCCCAAAGCAAAGATGGGATTCGTGGCAAAGCGCCGCGCACACGGCACGTTGCCCACAGTCCACAACTTGGCTGCACCCCCCCACGTCCTCGCAAACTCTCCTGCACAGCACAATGCATATCCAAAGCCACAATGGGGAACCCCGATGGCCCCACCGCTGCCGCTAAAGAAGGCTCGAGCGATGCCACTGCCACCGCCAGGGCAGGGTTTGCCAGTGCCGCCGCCCCCCACCCGCCCCCGCAGTCTGCAGCCGCTCTGCACGAACTCTGCCTCTCACCCGCCTCAGCTCCCTGCAAACCGCCCCGCCCCCTTAGAGTAACAGCATCACCGACCCGCAAAGCCACTGCGTTAAGGATGCAAGCCTGCGGCACAGCTTGGTGCCAGATCATCCTGAACCTGGGCAATGCATCTTTCCTTTTTGTGGCGCTGCAACACTGCAAAGACAGCACCGCACACTTTACCGCAGTGCTCTCTGGCTACAGGCCCAGCACGCTGGACAGATACCTTCGCGTTGCCTGGTTGCTGCTCGGCTTTCTCACGTGCTCTGGGATTGCGTTTACCTCCGTGGCCCTTGTGCAGCTCCTGGACTTCCTTGCAGCAGCGCGTGCCTCGCACAGCCAGGATAGAGAAGTCAATCAAATCTCCGCACAGTCCTCTATCAAAGCCCTGCGGTGGTTAGCAAAGCAATCCCAGTTGGAAGCCTTGCGCATTGCGTTGGATAGCCCTGTTATAGTCTCTTACTCGCTGCGAGGCACGGCCAAGGATCGCAAAGAGGCACTGCCTATTCCATGGTGCCTCGTTGCAGCTTGGGAAATGGCGCTATGCTTGCCCAGCACCGCACTTACTACCAAACTGGCGCTAGGAGCCATCCTTTTGGCTACACATGCAAGCCTCCGCTTCGGGGACCTGCAACGCATTGATTTGCACAGCCTCTCGCTTAGCACTACATGCAGCTCTGCACGGCGTGTGCTATGCAACGAAGACCACCAACTTTGGGCAACCCTTCGCGGTTACCCTCGGGGGTCTCTCCGGCAGAGACGCAGCATCGTGCTGGACATTGCATTGGCTGGCAGTGCTCCGCCAAGCAGTCGACCACGTCTGGGGCCCCGGAGACGCAGTCGACTTCCTCTGGTTCAACGCACAGCCTGAGCTCGCCGCATTGCCAGAGAGCTGGCTCCGGCTTCCTACTGCAATGCCATGCTCACCTTGCGCTGGGCTGCAACACTTCCTTGGCACCGCCACGCTGGGGGCCTCAGCCCAGCCGAGGCCAAGCAACTAACCTTGCACAGCATGAAAAGCACCGCACTGGCGACAGCGGCACAGCTGCGACTTCTCAAGGAGCTCCGCCTTCTTCAGGGTCATCACCGTGACAGCGCCGCACTGTACTCTCGAAACGACGTCTTCGCCAGCTTGGATGTCCAGCATAGCATCAGCACTGCTTTCTGCAATGGCTGGCGAGCGGAGCGCAGCGTCGCACGCGGCGGACAGGCACCTCTGCCTGAGCCCCCTTTTTCCCTGCCACCAGGGGCGCCGGTCACCGCTCTGCCTGCGACAGATCTTCTAGCAGGCGCTTGGAAGGCTTTCGTCACAAGACACGAGTTCCTCCATGCACAGCACGCACAAGCCCAGCCCGCACCTCTCAGCCCAGCGGCCGCTCTCTCAGAGGCGGCACCTAGCACAGCCCCGCCTTCTCCTGGTTTTCCCCCCGTGTCTCCCAAACGCCCTGCCGAAGCCAGAGATGGCGCGCCGCACGTGGCCAGAGAAATCTTTTGGGACGAAGAGGCAGAACTCGTCCACCAAGCTGCCCTGCAACGCATCTCGTCAAGCTCGAGCTCTTCATCCTTGTCCAGCAGAAGCAGACAGCTCCGCCAAGACGAACGACAGCACCGCTGGCCCAGCTTGCTTTGCATGTGTGGGGCCCTGGGGTTGCTGGCACTCCATCACGCACACAGACTGCCCGGACGCTGGGACCCGCACAGCGTGCGGCATTCCATTGGGTGCTGGAGCACAGTTCTCCGATGTGCCACAGGAGCCGCGCTGCCGCCGCAAAGCCTGCGTCAACGCTCGACGCGCTTTGATCTGAAAAAATCTGCTGTCGCATCAGCCCTGCTCAACACAGCCCCCAAACCTGCCCTAAGTCAACCCGCTGCTCAGGTCCAGCCCGTCTTCGGCGCCGCGTGCGCCCAGCGGCTCTGCACACGCTTTGTGTTTAGTTGCCGCTAGCGCTGCCAACCGAGTTGCCCCGCAGCCGTTTTCTCTCGAACTCGTGAACTCCCGCTCACAGTTACCACGTGCACACTGCGCACCATGGCCTTGTCCCGCGCCGCCGAATCATTGGAAACGCTTGAGGCCCTGGAAGACCCCTTGAGCTCTTTCCAAGTGCCTGAAGCACTCTGCAACGCACTGACCAGCACTGGGGTCAGCAGCGTCCCCGACTTTGCCTTTGCTTACAACGACACAGCTGAGCTGAACCGCTTCTGCACAGCACCCTACGAACAGCTCTGGCAGGACCTTCAAGTGGACGCCCCGGCACATAGCCCGGCCATGGCGCGCCTGCGCCGTGCCTGGCACCGTGCTAAAGCCTAAAGCCATGTCAGCAGCCGCCGACAGCCAGCACACAACGGTGGATACAAGCCCTGCCTCCGCACTGCCCCTCAACTCCTGGGCGGAGCACGCGCCTGGCCTCGACCAGGCAACAATCGCTCAGCTCACCGCGGATTTCAAATCCAACTATCCAGGAAAACACCTGGATGGCGATGCAATGCCCAGCGTTCGCCTGCTTAGCATTGTGCACAAGTGGTTTGCTCCAGGCAGCGCCATCACGTGGGTGCCCTGGCAGCTAAGGCTCTCGCAGAAACAGTACCAAGAGATCATCGAGAGCAAAGCAACAAAAACGCTTCGCACTGAAGCACAGTTTTTAAGCACAGCCCTGTTTGACGAAACGCCAGAGATGCCAGTCGATCACCTGCGCCTGAGCTCCGCGTGGCTCGGCCGGACACAAACTGTGTTCCGCAATGCGATCGCCATCTGCAAAGGAGCACACCTGGCACGGTTGAAAGCTTTCGACAAAAAGATCCTCGATTTGGCGACGCACTCGCCCACCGATGCCTCGCTCCGCACCGTCACGACAGCTGAACTGGTCTCTGCGGACCGTCGCATCTGGCAAGAGCTCGCACTGCTCCAAAGCCAGGGCTGGACCTTGGACGATGCCCTGCATGAGCTTACCACGGTCCGCTCTGACCTATAGGTAACCTCTTGCAGTACAGAGCCAAGGCGCCGGCACTTCCCCCGCGCCCGCCGCCCAGGAAGGAGGGCAAAGAAAAGCCCAACAAAGGCGCAGGCAAAGGCGGCAAAGCACAGGGCACTTCACCAGGCAAGCGTCGCGAGCCCGGCGCTGGCACTGCAACGGAGGTCAAAACCGCCGACCTCATTAAGGAGCACAATAACCGCACCTTTTGCATCAGGTATAACAAAGGCCAGTGCCGCAATGCGCAGTGCAAGTATCTTCACGCCTGTGCATTTAAACTCCCCTCCGGAGAGCCCTGTGGACGCAACCACCCGGCCTGCAGGCACAAGAACGGTCATCGTGTTTACTCGATCTGTTTTGCAAAACTAAACATGTTTGGCTTTTTTTGTGGTAGGGTTTTTCCTTGTCAGCTTGCTTGTGTTTTGGTTGGGCATGTGATCTCCTCTGAGCGACTTTTCCAGAATGCTTCTTTTAGCGGCGGCCGTGGAGTGCTCAGACGATGCGTGTGTTTTGATTTAGAGCAGCATGGATGCGGCACACAGCTCTCACAGCTAGCTCTGATCCATGACACGACTGGTCAGCTTTCTGCATAGGACATTAACAGCAACATCTTTCCCAATTTTGCAGGGCGCGGGGTGCGGCATGGCAGCAGCCTTCGTGGAGCTGCGCAAAGCCTTGTGCGCGCGGGAGGCACAAACCTGTCCCTCGGACGCGGCCCCTCCGACGCCTTCTTGGGAGGAGGCCCTTCTTCAGGGCTTCCGCAGAGGCCTCGACAGACTGCGGTCAGAGTACGAGGCCTTCAAGCAGGAGATCACCCGTCGCGTCAGCTCATTGCACTATGCTGTTTCTCGACAAGGTGATCTGAACGACCAAGTTTGGGGAAGACTACGGGCCATCAACCGCCGTCTCGATGCCCTTGAGAACGAGCTCATGCGTGTGCATCAGGACATCAACCAGATCCTCGGGCACCTGGTGGGCGACAGATGAAGCTCTTATGCTCTTACGACTGGCATGCACTTCACAGCCACCCTTCTGCTGGCAGCTCATTGGCAAGTTCCTCGCCATCCTGCATTTGCTTCAGTGGTTCTCTGAGTTCTGATAGCTCTAGGTTTTGTCTCTGATGCGATTTTGAGAGCTTGACAAGCATTCTCAATACTATTAAGAGGGGGTGGTCATCTAGGCTCACTATCATGAAGAGGGCTTCAAATTCTTTTGACGGGGGCCCCTTCTTATAGCGGCGATTCTCCCTGCCTCTTCACAGAAGATGAAGAAGGGGGTTGATGCGACTTTTGGGGCTCCGGCCGAAAAACAAGCGTTCTGGTCAAGCTTGACCACTCGGTTGTCGCGATGATCCATTGGGTCGGACCCTGCTCGGTTGAGCAAGCTTTGAATGCGATGATCTCTCGATCGGATTATGCTCAAGCGGGAGCGCAGGGTGCAAGCAAGCTCAGCAAAGACATGTTTTTAGGATGTGCTCATTGATGGGAAAATAGGCAGCATCACAGTAGTCATGGCTGGCTGTCACATTAGCATCATAATCACAGGC